CTGCTTTTTCCATAGGACCGCGATGATCGTGAAGTGGTTTGCGGCCTAGACTGGCAGGTGTTCCGCGGAGGGACCAGCATCCTCCGATGTGTGTGTGGTCGGCGTGTTGTATACCATGATAGTGTATGTTGTATTACAATGTGCAAATGCGCAATGGATACATTACATATATGCACATTTTTACATGCAACATTGGTTTTGGTCTTCCAAGGCCGCAGGCGCCCTTTGGAATTGAGAGAAGCTGCGTGAAGCTGCAAATAAGTGAGGTAGCTGCTAGGTTTGCTAGGTAGCTCTGCACACCTCGGACCTTAATTAACCTGGCAAGAGACCCCAAACTGTGTGTGTGAGGTCTATAAGCAGAAAGTGTAGAGATCTAGACGCATTGGGGTCCAGAGAGGTGATGGTGGTGATGAAGGTGGGGATCGTGGTGACGGTGGCGGTGGTGGTGAGTGAGTGTGAGTGTGAATGTGAGTGTGAGTGTGAGTGAGAGTGAGAGTGAGAGGGAGAGGGAGAGGGAGAGGGAGAGAGTGAGAGTGAGTGAGTGAGAGTGAGTGGCGAATGTGAGGGGGTGTGAGTGGGAGTGGGAGTGGGAGAGTGAGTGAGTGAGTGAGTGTGAGAGTGAGAGTGGGTGTGAGGGAGAGTGAGTGTGGATGAGTACTGCGCCTGCCACGAAATCTCCACTTCGAGGTTCACCATGCTGTGCCTGCCACGAATTCTGCACTTCGAGGTTCACAAAGTGCTGTGCCTGCCACGAAATCTGCACGTTGAGGTTCACAAAGTGCTGTGCCTGCCGCAAAGTCTGTGCATCGAGGCTCGCAAAGCGCTGTGCCTGTCACGAACTCCGCACATCGAGGTCCACAAAGTGCCTGCCACGAAATCTGCGCACCGAGGTTCACAAAGTGCTGTGCCTGTCATGAAATCTGCGCATCGAGGTTCACAAAGTGCTGTGCCTGCCACGAACTCTGCGCATAGAGGTTCACAAAGTGCTGCGCCTGCCACGAAATCTGCGCATCGAGGTTCGCAAAGTGCTGTGCCTGCCACGAAATCTGCACATCGAGGTTCACAAAGTGCTGTGCCTGCCACGAAATCTGCACATCGAGGTTCACCAAGTGCCGCGCCTGCCACGAAATCTGCGAACGAGCCACATGTCTAAAAGTCACGATTCACTGCACCTGTCACGAAATCAGAGCTCCTCGATGATCACGACCATGTCCAAAGTACTGCACCTGCCCCGAAAATTGCACTTCGAAGTACAACAGCTCCGATTCCAATCCTTGCGCCTGTCACGAAAAGTCGACTTTGAAGCTCCAAAGCACGAGGTTTCCCTTGCGCCTGCCACGACAAGTGACCACCATGTGCGAAAATGCGCACGGTGCCACAACGAGAGCGCAGTCGCTAGAAGCACCCGCCGCAGACGCCCAGATTCAGCAAGCCTGCGCAGTCGAAATGCACTTCCACGATTTCGAGAGGCATGAATGTACTGTAAGTAGCAGCGAATCAGCAGCACACGCCCGCGCGGCACACCAATCTAAGCACAGCTGCTACTCCACTAGCGTAAGAACCCCTAGTGTGTCCACACTGCTTGGGGAAAAAGGAAGATGGCGTTCTTCGAACCAATCTATCCAGGAACCTGTCCAACCACCGTTTTTCGATGCACCAAGCATCACCAGGAGCCATCACCTCCTCCTCCTCCTTAGTTGGACATGTGACATGTGCCATATCATTGTTGAAGAATCCAGTCTTGTTCTTGCTCTCAGTGGGCTGGTGCATGACTCTGGGTTATACTTGTATGCTAACTTTCCACACTGTTTCCATTGTTGCACTTCGGCTACTCTTGCTGCTTTTGCTCCACGTGTTTGCTAGAACTTCCTTTGAACCTGCGCTTTGGTTTGCTCTTTTTTGGCTTTGCTTCACCGCCTTTAAGCTAGCCTTGCTGCCCTGGGTTTGTCCGATGCCGCCGACCTTGATTTTTACAGTGTTTTGTGCACTTGACCTTAAAAGACGGCGCTCTCGCCTGCATTTCGTGCCGTTCTTGGATCTGGAGCGACTCAAACATGGGCAAACAGAGAAGTGCATCAAAATCCTTGAGCTGGGTGGGGGAGAGGCATTTTTTGCCACAAAACGTGGTTGAAACATACACTAAACATCACTAAACAAAGGGGAACATCAACCAAAAATCATGGATCTGGAAGGGGGCTGAATTTGGGCCCTTTGGGGACAGTTTTGGGCTCTTTTTTCTGGCACGCGCCAAGGCACCAAACACTAAATTACAGTGTTTTTGCAAATGTCGATTCAGAACAATGCGTTGCAATGCTGCAAAAACTGCATAAAGACCGACGTCTTTGAATGTAACTACAGCATACTACAGCGTTTTTTTACAAGCAGAACGATCAAACAACCTTGTAAATACCGAGTTTTTGAGCACTTGGTAGTCTAAAACCATCGGTATTTACAGTGTTTGCCGCAAAAGGTGCACAAAAGATCACAAAAGTGCAGAAATAGTGTGGTTTTGAGGCATTTTTCAGCCAAAAGCAAACGCCTGTTTCCGGTGGTGCAAAACGCCTGTTTCCGGTGGTGCAAAGCGCGCTGATTGAGCAGTGTTTGCACTAAGAATGGCTTGTAGTCTGTGCATCGCCGGTGTGCGAAGCCTGTCAATACTCCTTCAACCACCGAGGCCCGCGCCCAACAGCAAGAGTTGCTGGATGAGCTTCAGAAGCGGAAGGCTGTGCAGTACGAGCCGCTTGGTATCGCAGGTGGCACGGGGCTCGGGTAGCTCAATTGCACCTACTTCTTCGGCGAGTGCATACTCCGAAGCGCCTCCAGCATCATGGACATTCTTTGGGAAGCTGCCGGGGCCATGTACTATCCCCACAAACTAGCTGCTACATGCTGCTCACGGCCGGCCTTTGGACTCGATGTTGTTCTCCTTGGGGATCTTTGGCAAAACTCGTGAGGATCCGTGAGGTTTATCGTATGCCCCACCAGGAGGATCCGTTTGGCAACACCGAAGTAACGCGAGCGCCCAGGAGCGCCCCCAGACGAGGCATTCCGTTGGAGAGGCATTCCAGGTGTCCCAAAACCATGAGTACTGTATAGTTATCCAAACGGGTTTAGTGATATACAATCATATAACATACATGTATGTTCACGCACATAAACTTTTTAAATTAATGTATAAAAGGTATTGACGATCTTGACCAAAGCAAAGCTGCATAAACCACACAGTGAACTGCTCTAGAATGACTTGAATTGGTGTCGGCAAGTTGTTGCTTCTTTTGCCGCGACACCAATAACACCAAACAAAAAGCAGTCCAGAATGTTTGATGGCCGCCCATGTGGTGAATTGATTGGAAGAATTGATTTGGAGGTGCCCATGAATTATACTCTGTGCAGAGAGTTGGCACGGCTGCCTGGGGAAACTCCTAACTCATGTGCGCTGGGATGATGGACATGCTCTACTGAGACTGAAGAGATAGGAAACACACAGGGCAACCCTGTATGCAAGTCCCATCTCACAAAGGTCTGGACACAATTCGGACACAAGATTTCAATCAATTGCCTCGGAGGCCTTCATGTCTTTTAAAAATTATGTATACACTGGCCCGATGTGCAGCCTTATGAGTTAGGATAATTTTTTTCCAAACCTCATTGAATCCTTCCCAACTCTAGTGGCCTTGTTTTCCTGCGCAGTATTTCAGTCTATCATTTTTTTGGCGGCCTTTGCATGTCTGAGGCTATCAAAGGAAATACATCTTCTGGATAATATAAAGATTGTGTGGAACATTGAACACTTGTTGTGTATTTGTATGTGCACATATCATATCTACAGGTGCCAGGAGATCTAGCGTGTGCTAACTCCTTAGTAATCAGTACACAGTATACTATAATCTACAATTAATTAATGACTATATAATGACTGTATAGTGAATCTTGACACCACTGGCTTGTAGAGGGGGCATATTTTGTTTTATCTTATTTTTTTGCGGTGTGCCAGAGAGGCAGACATCCCAATTTCTTGCGCATTTCGGCATTTTGGGCTAATCACTGTTTTGCTTCTCCCACGCCGAGTGAGATTGAGGCTGATCAGCAGCAGCCAACAGCTGCTTGAGTTGCAGGACAAGGTCTACCAACAGGAGCCGAGTTACGCATGTCCGAATGACGGTTTCGTTGACGTATCCATGATGATCTGAAAACTCTCATGTTATTTAAAGCAGGCTTCGCACCATACATCCTATGTTGAAGAGGCCACGTTAATACTAATTCATGGCAATTCATGGCACACGATGGACCGAGACAAGTATATTGCGACGCTGATCTCGGTTGAGATCAGAGGCAATGGAGCTTGGGTATGGCATCAATGTAATCAGCTAGCAGAAAAGCGATCACAATGCAGTTTAATGCACGGCGATCGATCAACTAGCACGGTTTGTTCGTTGATGCGGGGTGCGGGGCATGCCGGGTGCTCCAGGAAAAGAAGCTTCAGACCCTTGGCCCCTTGGCGATCGCCGGCTCGCGACGGTTTACATGACCTGTGTTGCGGTGTTGTTCTTCTTTTCTGGATAGATTGTTCTCACTGAGTTATCACTTGTACTGATCCAGTTGTTGGGATACAACCTCCTGACCCGCACCAGTCGTATGTCGTACGTCCATCGCACGGCGTCCAAGGCTCGAAGCCACTTGGCAGCAGACACGCAGAGGGCGCCGCAGAGGGATGGCGCAGAACGTCCAGCTGGGGAGAGAGCGTCAGTGAAGGGTAGAGGACCACCAGGAATTGGTGGCCGGAGGCCGGAGGTTCTTTGGGGTGCGGAGCATTGCGTAGCTGTAGCTTGCAGGGTGGCAGGGGCACCTCTGAGGTTGAATGTGTGGGGAGCAAGAAGTGCAGTCAGTATGCTTGATTTGATCGACTTCCATACTGTTTGCAACTCCTCGACTCACGTGACGTTCGTGCTCCGTTCGTGCCGCCAAACTCGGCCGCCAATGCCACTCGCTCGCCGATGCGAAAGCCTCAAGCCAACTCACGAACTACGTCCAACCATTCCGCGGGCGGACGTCTCCGTCCGATTTCACGCTCCGATTTCGAATCATGCAACTTGGCGGATGTCTTTGGGTCGACCCGGGATCCGGGACCCGAAGATGAAAGATTTCCGGACCAGTCAGGGTGGAGATGTTTGATCATCCAGTGCCAGGTAGTTGAGGGGTTTTACGGATCAACATGGATCAACAGCCTAATTTAAAAAGTGAAAGTGGACCAGCTGAGGTAGGAAGGCCAAAGAACACCTTCAGTCCGGAAACAGCTCATAGGTCACTGGAATTTGGTCACTGGATTCTTCTTTTATATAATTTATAATTTTGTGAAATCCTCTTTGGTCCGATGTGAGCTTTGAACAGCTGCCAGGCATCTCTATTTGATCCTATTTCTCCTTGCCCCTGCACAGGGCATCTATATGAGAGGCCATCCCTCGAAGCGAGGACAGGCCTGCGCAGGTCTCAAGAACCATGAGGCGCGCATTTTGGTCTGCACGAAAAGAGGAATCACGACCAGTGCTGAAATGATCCCCCAGCAATCTGAGATCATCTGAGGTGGTAACGGACCGAAAGGCATTTTAGATAGGTATGATGAGACAGGCTAGTTTGGCGCTGGGGTTGCTTTCAGCACGGTACGGCAGCTGAGGCCAAACTTGCTCCATCTGATTAAAATAGTAAAAGATCGCGTGGAGTGCCCCAAAAATCAAGACATTTTGAGACTTTCAACAACTTTCTCACATTGGGACCGGCCTCAACTTTGACTTGGACGGTTTGTAAAGCAAACCTTTCCCCATTCAACGCATGCAAGAGCTTGGGCAGCTTGGGCCTTTGCTCTCCCCTGATCTGTGACGCGACTCAACCAGCCCCTCGATCCACCGATCGCTCAATGCTCGCAGGTGTACTCCTCGGTGCGCGTCTATGTGGGTAGCGAGCAGGTGGCCTTTGACCTGGTTGCGGACACCGGGAGCGACAATTGCCTCTTGGTGAATTTGGCGGGGAAAAGGGTCCGGCAGGATCGAGAAGCGAAACGAGAAGGGAAATGGAGTATGAAGATTATGAAGGACAAAGGGGTGAATTCACTGTGGAGGATTTGAAACTGTTTGGATGTCGTATCATGCACCTGAAAGCCTCAAGTGCGATTATTCAGAGGCAAACGGAAGGGTAGTGCACAGAAAGGGTTTTGCACAAATCTATTTTGTTAACATCGTGGAAGGCGCGGGACATTCGTAGAACCCAAGGCTATTCGTGGACAGTTCGTGGAATGGTGGGCCAGTAGGAGAACTGACTGCAACGAAATCCCAGAAACCTTCGCAGAACTTCGTGGAAGGTATTTTTGATGCACTAACTTCGTAAAAGCGATTTTTTGCTGACCCCCTTTCTCCACACACCCTCCATTTAGCCTTCAATTATGATAAGATGAGAGGTTTTGGAGATTTGTTCTTGTGAGTGATTGAATCACATGAAAAATGACTGGGAGAGGGGGAAGCATGGATTGAAAATAACCCACACGTAAAGAACGTTCACGCGGCAGGCATCGTGAAAGCCTGTGCCTGCGAGCAATGCCCCTCCGAGTGGGGTGGCTGTTTTGAAGGGCCCAAGGTGGGGCGCTTGGGTTGCCTTGATGTTGGTTTGTTGATAGAAGAGCGTCAGGAGTATGTCTTGAAGAGCGTGGAAGTGCTGTGAGCTGGTCAGTCAAGCGCCTGCCTTTGAGACTACTGCTGCCCATTTTGGACAATTTTGGATAGCTGATGGATCCATTTCATCAGCTTTCGATGAGTTGCTTTGAGGGGATCAATTTGGGCCGTCGGGATCCGCCTTTTGTGTCAGGATTCGCACTCCTTCGCCATGACGCTGCTTGGGGGCAGCCGGGGGGGGCTTCTGGGGGTTCCATTGGATTTCATCGGGTTTCCTATGGTTTCCTGGTTTTGCCAGAGGAGGTTTGTCAGAAGAATACGTTTCTGCATAGCACCAGGGGTAGCATTTACAGTGACTTCTGGAAATGTTGAAAGCGAGCAAGAAATGGGAACTAGTGTGGATGTTTTGACCAACCGGCTCCAACTGAAAGTGACTCTTTGTTCGTCAAGGTGCTACCAGCTCGCCTGCGCACGGTCTATTGAAGGCAATCTACTTTAGAGGTGAGTGACCAACTGTGAGTGTAGAACCACGATTGAGGGTTCAAATATTGTGATCGAACCATATCAAACCTTTGTCCAGGGTATATAGGAGTATATATAGTATATGTCATATATATATATGTATATATATACTTATCTAATATATTTATGTATATGATACGTATATAAGTAGCAGTACGAACCAAAGCCCTTCTGTACACCACTATCCACGGGCGGACTTCACGTCGACGTCAATATTCACAAGTTGCACAATCCACATTCTTGGTCGACCATTCTTGCTGAGAATAGCTCCTCATTTCGTGAGCTGGCTTGTATTTTGAAGCCCCATCACAAAGTCCGGAACTCCATAGTTGGTTGGGTGCTGGACCCGCTTCACTGAAGAGTTCAACATTGCACAATCAGTGACTTGGATGAAGAATCATCACTCATGGTATCTCATGGTTGTTGTCTAATGGGTTCAATGTGTAACATGGTGCTCGGTACATATGTTCGCCTCCTTGTCGGCCAGCCAAGTGTTCGCTTCACGGCTTGGCTTCGTGCACTTTCCCGGTCACCCGACCCTCCCACCACGGCTGTGACCGGGCTTCCGGGCTTCCGTTTCGCCCACCGGACAGGGCGCGTCCTTTTGGACCGGAAGACCTGAGGACCGTCCATAACAAAAGCAGCAAGTCCGACGACCCGGTCTCCATGGTGATGCGTTTCTTGGTTTTGCTGATGAGGTGAATTTGTTTCAATGTTCCCTCAAAATCCATGGTAAATCCCCTGGTCTGAGGAAGACGTTGTTTCGCTCCTGGACAGCAAAGCCCAGGTTTCGGCAGTGGCGACATCGCCGCCACGGTGAGCTCCGACGCGGTGAAGCTGGGACCCAAAGAGGCTTGGATGGCGCCTTGGCGGAGAGTGGTGCACTGGGTGTTTTCGGTGCCACCTTGGTGCTACTGCCATTTGGTGCCTTGTCAAGTGACCAACAACACCCGTTGGCAAGCATTTGCTGCTTCCAGACTCCCTGGGGGTCCCTAGTGGGTTCCCTGTCGAAAAGAAGCTAAAAAGAGACAGCAGGTCACACGCTCACATGGGATCACATAGAGCCACCTCAAGTCTCAGTTCAAAACCTAAGGCACCGGAACTCGAGGGAACTAAGTCATAAAGAGAACACCAACGTTGACTACACTCTGACTCACTAATATGGAAGTGGAAGATAGGCCCTTCGAAGACCAGTTTGCTTTACGGACTGGGGGTGTTGCACTTCCATGTTTCACGTTAAGTTTGTTCAAAAGATCTAGAATCTAGAATCCAACAGCAATGTTGACCAAGGGTCGACTTGGGTTAGTGTATTCTTGTGCACGCAGTGCTTTGTGGCCCTCCGAACCCTCTGAATCCTCAGAGACCGACGCCCTCTTCGCTAGGAAAACGGCCTCCTCTTGATGGTCGATCACACGCTGGAGCTGAAAGGTCCTTTGGCAGTCGTCCGGCGACAGGCCCGGTGCCAGTCCTCCAGACCGACGATCGAAGCGAGTTCGACCTGGACTTCGGGACGAGATGGGAGGGCTTACCAAAGGAAGCCCGAGGTCTACCATGCAATTCATGCCGGACTTACGGAGTAAATCGACCTTAATGGACCCAAATGGCCAACCTTGGCCTGATATTTCTGTCATGCTCCATTGTAAATTGTGAAGTTGCAAAATGGTCGATCAAAGGATCATTCAAGGATCATGTTCCTGTCCGACGTCCTTAATATCCTCCTTACCTTTGCTCTTCCAAGGCAAGTTTGAAGGTATTTTGGGCTTGGGCCGACCTCCAGCTGAAGAGTCTCCCATCGAGACGTCCAACGGTGCGGAGCTGACGAACCTGCAGGTGCCCAGCTTTTTGGAACGTGCCCAGGTGCAGCGTTCCTTGGGCCGACCCGTGGACCCGACGCATCGACGCGTGAACCGACTCGGAGGACCGGGGCCCGGGACACGCGACTGGGATCCCGACATCGAGGGACCATTTGGTGACTAGGGAATGGCCCCAATGGCGGCGCCATTGGCCATGACTTGGATTCATTGTGGCAAGACGGGTGGGTAAAAGGGAAAGCTGACATGCACAATCCCTTCCTTCTACATGTCCAGTTGGGACAGGACCTTTGCAGAGAAGTCCGTCGAAGTCTAGGACCAGGACAGTGACACCGCGTCCCCTCTCGCCAAACCTTGTCACAAAGCTCAAACGTCGTGCAGAGGGCACCCCGACATGACTGGTCGCAGGGACACAACACCATGGTGTGCTAGAGCCAAATCCTCAAGGTTCACCTTTATGCTCTGAGGCTTCTCCCTTTGCTTCAACCGCAAGGCTGATGGTGTCCTGGGCTTGGATGCCCCCAAGCCTGCGAATCCAATGAGCTCCACGGGGCACACCCACTGGTCCTTGAACTTGAAGGGCATCTCCGTGGGGACGCCCCTTCGATCTGAGGGGAGGTGGTGTGGACACTTGGGGTCTGATTTGTTTTTTGGACACCCTTGACTGCACGAAATGCGGCTGAGGGCGGGTGTGGCAGAGATTTCAGCCAAGGGCTGAAGTTCTTTGGGCCGCCCTGAGCTGGGCAGACCAAACATGTCTCAACATCGGCTGGGAGCAGGGAAGGACTTTTTCTACATCTCAACGGGCACTCAAGACTTTTTGCCATCATGTTCCATGCAGCCCTCCCCTCTTAGATAAACCTCAGTTTTCCAAAGTGTCTTCAGATTGGCAGTTACTCGTTCTGCCGCAGCTTGGCCTCTAAAGCACAGCACCAACTGGCAATTGGCTGGGCCAGGTCCGAACACATGGACCCGCCGCATCTCCCACATGTTCCAATCACCAAAAAGCTGCAAGAGACGACAGATGATGATCATGAAGTCGACTCAGCTGCGGGTGAACCTCCAAACTCCCCAACACCTACGGACACCGTCTGCTAGTTTCAGAGGTCTTCACAAGCAATGGCTAGCAAGGTTTTGATTCAAACATCTTCGATCTGAAAGTGTTCTGAGATGACCTGAGGACCTCCAAATCTTCAAAGGATGCTGCCGCTGCCAAGATCGAAGGCCTTTGCAGCGACCAATGCTCAGCCATCCCGGACAGTGGCACCACACTCACTGCTGGGCCTGAGGAAGATCTTGCAAAGATCTACGCAACTTGCGATGTGTTTCATCGGAGTTCCACCGGACGGAGAAACGGACGGACCGACCCCAGTGGTGGACCTGGTCGCGTGACACCAAATCGGTATGGATTGGTGGACGAAGCTGAAGACGTCACTGGATGGACTGGTTAGGTTGGCTTTGGCTGGATGAGGTGGGTTCACAGAAGCTCTCTCATTGGTCTGGCGCCGAAACAGCGAGGGAGGGTGGGAGGGTGGGAGGGAGAGAGAGAGAGAGAGGGAAACATCACCCGTCATTTCGCATCATGACGCCACCTCCAAGGGTGAAAAGTGAAGACCACCTGTTGGGCAGAATGGCCAGGCCACAATACAAAGAAGCTACTAGGGGCTCCTGGCATCGCTACTAGGAGCAAAGAATATATATGTTTGTGGATCTCCAACACATCCCATGCCTCTGCTTACGTCCTATCGTTGGCGCATGCAAGAACTCACATTGACCCTCGAAATGTGGGGGCGTTAGGAAAACACAGTCGTTCAATATGCCGGTAATTCAATCAAGTGTTTCCAGCAATGTGAACGAAGGACACATTGTCACATTCAATGTGCACCTCCCCTTTCAAGCATATCTTTGCAGTGTGCTGCTTGTGAAACTCATTCTTCAAGATGAGCTCATTCTTTTTCGTGATGCCATCATGCCTTATATATATATAATTATGTAAACTACGTGGGCAATTCGAGCTTCTTTTTTTTGTTTTTTCTTTTACTGCAATTCGCTGTTCCCGCAGCCTTTTTTTTGATCTCATTTGCCCCTGCATCCTGACTTGCAGAATCAGGCGAGGGCGCTGTGGGGGTGGTGTGGGGGATCAGGTTTTATTGACTTGGGACCCTTGGCTGGACTAAGATCACCCTTAAAGAGATGGTTTTTAATTTGAGGGGCCACTAGGGAGCGGCCAAGGGTCAATTTGCAATTGATTTGAGCCCGTAGTAGTGGCTCAAACTTGCTTTGTTTCGTGTCCTGGCCCCTTACGTTTGTGGGTGATGGCTGAGCAAATCATTGCCGCGGTGGAGGCGCTGGAGGCCGGAGATGCTGCTGAAGCCGCAATGCTGGCTGCAGGGGGGGGGTGGCTGAGGATGTGATTGAGGAGATCATTCTTCCTGGCGCCCAACGTCTTCAAGATCCAGCTGCCCCAGCCGACCCAGCTGAGCTAGCTGACCCAGCCGACCCAGCTGCCCAGGGCAGTGGCGATGGCACACCGGTGGCTGTGGTGTTGTCCTCAGCGTCGGCAGCAGCCCATGCAGCCCAACGAAAAGTGCGTCTAGAGCTGGCTGAGCATTTGTCTACAGTCCTGGGCCCACAGTGCAAATTTGACATGGCAATGCTGAGCTTGGCCAAGGACGAGATTCACGTGTATGCACTGAGCTTGGACAGTGCCCCAGCAATCTTTTGGAAGAGGTATGATCCCAGCAAGGAGTTCAGCTGGGCATCTGCTTCCTTCAAGACTGTCACGTCCAGTTTCTTCGCTGGGGGTGTGAAGACCCCGGACAGCGTCAGTGAGATTTGCGCAGGCCCCCAGGCAGCATTGGAGTGTGGGGAAGGTTTCCATGGCAGTCTTGGTGTTGGGGGCTTACATAACAGCGTCTAACTTGCATTAGTACGACTTAATACTAGTACTAATAAGAGTACTACGAAGACTACTATTAAACTTTTACTACTACTACTACTACTACGACAACAACAACAACAACTACTACTACTGGTACTGCTACTGGTACTGCTACTGCTGCTACTACTACTACTACTACGACTACGACTACGACTACGACTGCTACTACTACTACTACAACTACTACTACTACTACCACGACCTCCACTACTACTACTACTACCACTACGACGACGACGACGACCACGACGACGACGACGACTACTACTACGACTACGACTACGACTACCACTACCACTACCACTACGACTACGACTACGACTACGACGACGACGACGACTACCACTACCACTACCACTACCACTACCACTACTACTACTACTACTTCTACTACTACTACTACTACTACTATCACTACTACTACTACTACGACGACTACTACTACTACTACCACCGCCACCACTACCACTACTACTGCTACTACTACAACTACTACCACAATTATCTACTACTACTACTACTACTACTACGACTATGACTACTACTACTACTACTACTACTACGTATACGTCCACTTCTACTTCTACTTCTTCTACTTCCACTACCACCACCGTGTCCTGAGGCTTGACGCTGACCGCATCAGAATCTCACATCATCAATGCTGCGCGGGAGTTGTCCAGCCTGCTGCCACCTCAGCCCCAGCTGCCGAAGAAGTGGCACGTTGGATTTGGACATGGCAGATGCTCATTTCGTTGCGCCCTCAGATGGTCCATGCATGTTGAGCCACTCTCCATCCCCAAAGTCAGTCTGCCCATGTGACTCTGACATTTTAGCATTTTGGCTTGTCACAGGCTCCAGCCATCCAAGCTGCCCCAGCTGTCCCAGCTGTCTCATCTGTCCATTTTGTGCAATGGTGCTGTTGCCTGATCAGCACTGTCAATGGTTGGAGTCATGGGGGCAGCGCACTAAGCTAGCCTTTTCGCAAGCTTTTCAGGAGAGGAATGGTGAAGGCTGGAGAGAGGAGCTTCAAGCTGCCATAAACAGACCACTTCGTGTGGGCACAGATTGCAGTGGCTTGGAAAGCCCTGTGCATGCGCTGCATCAACTAAAAATCCACCACCACCATTCAGCTGTGAATGCGCAAAGGCGCCCAGACTAGTCATTGCAGCGAACTGCCCACCTGAGCAGAAGCTCTTTGATGATGTTTTGGATGAAAAGATGGACAGTGTGCTGCCTGAAGTTGACATGTATGTAGCTGGCTTCTCATGCAAGCCATTTTCACGACTGCACCATCAGACACGTTTACTAGATGAGCAGGAAGCTGGTATATTTTTCGCTGTTGTCCGCAAACTGAAAAAGCTGCGCCCCCCTGCGTTCGTCTTTGAAAATGCGGAGGGGATCAAGCGATGCATGCCACAGGTTTTAGCCCTGTTGCGTGATGTGGGGTACAATGTCATTGTCGAGCTTCTCAACCCTCTTGAGCTGGGTGAGCCTGTCAGCAGACCACGCTACTATTTCATTGGGACAAGGAAGGACGTGTCCAGTGTTTCTGAGGCAGATGCAACCGCCTTCTTCCTCCAGATCATGAGGTGGTGAGAGAGATGCAGGAGAAGCGACGCAGCCGGTGGGAGGTTGCAAAGCAAAAGTGGTTTCCTGCAATGCACCCGTGCTGCAAGTGGATGGAGCGCCATGAGCCGTGGATTCAGCGAAAGGAGGTACTTGAGATCGAGGGCAAGCCTGGATTGAAAGAACTCCTACCAGACAAGTTCTACCTCCACCTTGCACGCAAAAGGGACGCTTGGGACGAACCATTGAAGACAGGCCATTGCCCTCACAATACCACAGCCGACATGTCACAGAGCTTGGGACGCATACCTTTGCGCAGCGATGGCCGCCTCCCAACAATTACTCCAGGTGCTCACATATTGATGGCTGAGGCTGGCAGAGCCTTAGCTCCCATGGAGAAACTGCTGATGCATGCGCTGCCGCTGCATAAGATGACGATCCCAAGCAATGTGTCAGATTCCGAGTTGGAGGACATGGCTGGAAACATGATGCATTTGCAATTTGCAGACAGTGGGTTTGCGATGCTCATGGCTATCAGTCTAGTGGATTGGATGAGCTTGACCACACCTCAGCCGTCCGAGCTGTCCGCTGTCCTCCTGAACAATTCTAGGCTGGCAGCCGCCCTCCAATCCAGATATGGTATGGACATCGCAAAGTTTAAGGAGAGACGCAAGGCCACAAAGTTCAAAGCAAACCGAAAGCCAAAGCATATAGCTTGTCTGCGTGGAACACGCTGGGCCAGCTGATGCAGGAAGATGTTTTTCTTCTCAATATTAATTCAATGGCCACGCCCTTGCCACTGCAGGTATCCTGGCGTCAATTCAATCTAGCGTGAGCGACCACCATAGCAATGAAAGAGCAGCAGAGAAGCCGGTAGCTGTATTTTGAGTGCCTCCAGTAGGTATTTGTTTGAGTTTTGTGTGCTTAGGTTGCTGCATTGCCCACCGCTGAGGCCTGACCTGTGAGCTGCGACCTCCCACAGCGCACAGAAAAAGAGACCGATGCAGATGAGCGGGTCCCTTAATATTTTTCGGGACCGCTGGATTTCACACCCAGTAAATATATATAATGTATCTCGTTCGTAATTTTTACAATACCTATATCTGATAATTTTTGGATGTGAATGTGTTAATGCTAGAACATGCTACAGTGGCAGTAGGTGTTGCCCACTTCGAAGCAACATCTCCCATTTCAGTCGCCAATTCAGGATCAGGTTTGCAACAACTGGCAGCGCTGCAAGAATACTCATGAAGAGCTGAAAAAGGAAATCAAGAAGCTGGCGAAGAAAGGAATCAAGGTGGAAGGACCCAAACACCAAACCACACGAACATCTCTCTCATTCCGTGTTGAATGCCGTATATTGCCGTTCTTGGATTCGGGGTTGTGTTTTTCCCACGGGGCCAGATGTCCAAGCCTTTTTCCGATGGCGTCTTGAGCGTTGCACGCTGCCGGCGCGAGAGAAGTTTCTGGTGTTTTTCAGGAACCGCGACCCTCATGAGCCTGGATCCTCACGACTTTATGGCAACGGTCTCGAAAATCGCCCAGCAGAGTGGCACAAGGCTCCGGGAGGCGACGGAGGCCGCGGCACAAGCGAGGACAGCGACGCTGAAGTGGGGCACCTTGAGCACGGGAGATGGCCATCCTGTGCGTAGTCGAGCCTTGGAGAAGTGTGAGGGGCGGGGTCCAGATGGAGGTTAATAATGAAGACTCTTGATGGACAAACTTTAAGAACATCCCGCCCATTTGGATGTAAGACCTCATATGTTTTTGTTAATGAATCAAGAGCCTACATGAGTGTCCATTAGCTCTTGAAGGGAATCTCGTCTTTCTGAATTCATTTCATCGATCAAAATCATGGACTCATTTGTGAGTCTTGATGCCCCCACCATCCACAAAACCATGCAGAACCCTTGTGCAGCGGGGTGGTGTTTCCTGAACATGTCCTGATGATTCGCGGCGCACGAAGACTGTAGGTAGGGGAGAGTTACTGAGCATCAAGGATGTTGTAGCAGTCTAGCAATTCTTTGACTGGGTGGGGCTCGAAGACTGTATTGTACTTGATGAAGCGTGCAAAAGACGTGTAGCCTTAGCCAAGGCCTCACGCCCTGTTGACCACTGTTGTCAGTGGCCGGTATGTGCAAGGAAGCATTTGCATGTTGCTTTATGGTGCCGCTTATCCCTTTGCCGACTCGCCCGTGCAACACAAGGAACGGCCATCGCAGCTGATGCGGACAACTCCTCGAGTGCCCGGCATTGGGTATTGAACATTGGGGGTTTGTGTCTCAATAATGGGGTCGCCAAATGGGCCTAACATGAATAGGGACTTTAGGGATGACCCGACTGTAGCAGGCATTTTGCACAAAGGGGGAACATTCAGAATTCTTTCCAGAATCCAATTGTAGGAACTTCTAGCCTTTCCAGCAAAACAAGCGACTGCTATTTAAGTTTTCATTGATGCAGTTTTAGCTTAACCTGCCATGAATGATGCGTTGCCATTGCGTTTTCATGCTCAATGTTGGATGTCACATGTGCATAAAAATGACAGGATTGGCTACAAAAACGATATGACAAAGCGATAACTTTCACTAATCATATATATATATATACAGTTTATTAAATTATATATTGAATTGTCCAGCGCTTGGCTACTAGGTGTCGCTCAGCCTTGCAGCATGGTTTTGAAGCTTCTCTTCTTGTGAACGGTGAGCTTGGTTGCACCGTGGAACCCGGCTGTTCCGCTCAGGTAGTGATCAGCCCAAGACGGTGAAGTGGGGCTCCTTAAAGAGCACACAAGGCATTTTAGATGCCGCGACACGGCTTGGAAGCAGCATTTTTCAAGAAGGACTGGTTTTGTGGTACATGAGATGTGCGTCGATTCGAACAAGGACGGTTCAAGCCCTACGAAGACCTAGCAGATGTCGCTTCTTTTTGCAGTAAATGGGGTAATGGTAGTTATGTAGCACAGACTTGAAGTTGAAGCTCCGTTGATTCTTCCACACCTTTTGGTGTCCGTCATGCATCCTTGACCTGTTTTTCGCGGCGCCAGGAGACCCTGAAGGACGGATCGCCGCGTTGCGGTTTGGAGCGCTGCTGTTTCGGTCCGTTCGGTTTTGGGGACAGAAAGACAGGGTTTGGAGCCATGCTGATTAATTAGGATCTAATCAGCCCAGAAAGACGCAGGGCAAAAGGAGGGCAATAAAGGCATTCCTCCGTGCACCATGGCTTCTCGGCTTCAGGAGAGCTTGACATGGAGGAGGAAAACAGTGGGCTCGAGATTGAGCCATCCTTAACGCTCCAATTGCTCCTTGAACACTGCTCCCAATGGATGCATGACGTTCCTGGGCTTCATACGACCGGGTGTTTCTCAAGTCCAAAGAGGCTCAGTCAGTCTTCCGTGAGAATGTTGAAGGGGTTGGGCTTTTTGGTGGTGGTGCTTTATCCTTGAACAGAGGACCTTGGCAGCCTTGGAACTTGGCACTTGACACAACCCTCCAACGTTGCAGATAGTAGAGACAAGGACTGGGAAGAATCAGCCTCTGGCGAAGAACATGCTAGGATGCCTGTTCTGCTGGGCCAGTCCCATTTAATACACTTCTTTAATCTTCTTTAGATCTTCGTGCGTCGTTGTGTGTCTGCGGCAGCGTTCACCCTCCGTTTCATCAACCATTTGTGACTTTGTGTCTTCCGTCTCTGAGGCGAACCTGGTCGAGGAGATGCCCAAACTAAGCTTTCATGTCACCGCTGCCGATGGAAAGCGCCTGGGTCATAAACTGCGTGAGAAGTTGGGCGAAGATAGATGAGATTTGGCACAACACATCATCTGGCACAACACATCTAAAAACCATGTTTACAGACATCTGCTTGAACTGTCACTCTGCTGGTTAAGTGTCTAGAGTCTAGACATGGACAATCACCTTGAGAATGCTTATCCTTCACATTCATGAAAGCACCCATCTATGGTGCTGGCAGACTTGAAAGACCCTTGCCTCAGATCCTCCAAAGGCAGCATATGTGCAGGCAGAGGTGTATTACATGGTCCAAATGGGCATATAGCTATAGACTTGCACCGACGGGTGAATGTAGGATACAAATGTACATAAATGTGTATATATATATACCAATAAATGTAAACAATATATACATACATATATATATAGTATTAGGATGTTATGTAGGCATATGGTATCACATGCCTTTCTAGCACCTTTCCACATATTTCGCAGAGTCCACCTTCCAAAATCCCCACTGGTCCAGTCTCCGTCTGCCTCTCTCCCTCTCTAGCTATGTGTTCAGGACCGATGAGCTGAAGCTGTCTCCCAAGTCCTACGTTTTGTCCAAGGACTTGGAGGTGGAGGTGCCCAGTGTCCGTGCCTAGGCCCCCAAGCGAGCCAAACGTGTCCGGGTGTCCGCCCAGTGTCCGGCGGCTTCCGAATGACCGGGCCGGAGGCACCGGGTGACTGCCACAAAAGCTTTCTGGACAGAAAAGGAATGAAAAGGATGATGTGTGGAGATCCATCTTCTCTGTTTGATGGAATTCTTGCAGAAGGTGGATGTTTGCGAAGTCAAGCAAGGCCTGCACTGTGCTGTAAAGTGCAGCATCCTGGATCCTGTTAAACCTTGTCTTGGATACTTTATTTTATTCTGTTACCTTGGAGCAGGTAAGGCGCCCAAACCTTTCGCAGATGATCAGGTGCTGGCCAACCATGTTGGCTTACGCTGTGATTCATGATTTGGCTCCAAGGAAATGTGTTGGGCTTTCCACTGAAGACTACGGAGAAGGCGACCTGGCCTGAACAGTGCTTCAAATCCCAGCATGGCTCGCAGTCGCACCACTCCCAAGACTTGTATAATTGCTAATGATTAGCTAATGTTGACTCTTGATTTATCAACCCCCCTTCTCCCTCCCTCCTCAACAAATTGGAGACCCTTAAAAATTATGATACATAGAAAACCAACCAATCGATGAAAACATTTAAACGCATTACTTAGCTACCTCTGTAGCTACTCTGGCAATACTAAAATGAAAGGAACAACAGAAAAACATGAGGAACACAACAAAGAACAATAGAAACATATGTTCCAAAAATATTAATCCAAAAAATAGACATTATTCTGGGGGCCTTTATTAATCAGTGCAGGGAAAAAAAAGCTAACATTATTCTGGGGGCGTTTGTTAATTAGAGGTCCACATTAGGTTTGGCACGTTTGGATTTGCATTTGGACCTAGCCTGTGCGCAGGTGGTGGGTTGGGCCCCCCTCGGACGATGGTTGCATTATTGTTTGATTGTCTTGGTCTCGAATTCAAGCGGGCTACCGGTAGTTGCATCACAAGGAACTGAGCACCTGCCGCTGCAGGTCACACCCTTCAAATGCCTCGATTGGGCTTGCAGGATCTTATAGGACCCTAACTGTGGCTTGCTTCAGGCATTCCGAGGAAGCAGAACGCACCCCCTCCGGCGGGCCCGCTGACGCTCATTCTGCTGTCGCACAGCTGGGCGCTCAAAAACGCGCGACTGAGGGGGTGAAGACCGTTTGTTCCATGGCCTTCACACCTACGAGCTACATGACGATCAGCGATGGCATGATCTGGATTCTTGGAACACCGCTCTTCTACGAGCACCTCGGTAAATCGAGATAGAAACGACTTCCCAGACACCTTGATGGAATCTAGAAACCGTTCGTTTGTGGGCTCTCGGAGGTGTTTCACAGGCAACAAAAAGCACGTGTGTGGGCCTATGCTGTCTTCAGATGTCTTCAGATGCAACCTATTTTTTTATTGAAACATGAGCAGCAGAGACCTGCGTTTGATGCCCCTACCATCCTCTACCGGTGCTGACATGGAGCGCGGTGAAACTCAAACAGAGGGGGGGGCAAGCATGGCAAGCTGTCAGGTACACTGCTCATTATGACCGTGGCACTGGGAAAGAAGAAGAGATCACCGTGGGCTTTGTCCACCAAGATGATGAACCCTGCGGGGAATGCGATGCAAAGACCAACGAAGTGAGGCAGATCGACGTCTCAAATTCACCGTAGTCAGCATGGGGCGAGAAGAGGGATGTAGTGATCCGCGACCGCAGTCACCCATGTTGACCCCTGACCTTTTGACACCGGGAAGGGGTTGACCATAGTATGAATTGATGAAGTAGGTGAACAGTTAAGTGAACATAATTTAGTATAAGGTGATCGAAGCCACCATGTTTGTTCGAGGCTTTTGAAGCTAAAGACTTCACCCTCCACCATCCACCATCTCCACCTCTCCACCGCCACTCTGGCCATACCGGGTTCCCCGGTGCCAGCGCTCAGCTGGTCTTGTGGAACACAGGATGTCAAAGGATATCAATGCCATTCAACGGTCAACAGGTGATGACTCAGCCCATCTCCACCCCACTTGATGTTTAACGACGCCGGGAAGATGGAGCGCGTCTCAGGCCTTCCCAGTCTCTCATCGACAGTAGTGCGACCACAGGGTTGCAGCAATTGATCTACCTCTCCAAGCAGCCGGTCTTGCGAACCTTGGACGTTGCCTTCTTCAGATTGGATCATCTCAATCACGGGTGCACTAAAACAGATGTCCCAACTTCCTCCACGACTCCACTAATTGATGTCATATATATATATATGCAAGAAATCCTTTCTTAGAAGCTCTGTCAACGAGCATGGTTTCCGAGCTTGGGTTCAAAAGGGATCGCAAGGCTTATCCCGGTCGCGTTGCCACCGCATTCGAGCCATTTCGTTCACTTCGCCCCTCCGTTGAGCTTGAGAACATAGGCTGCCGTGCATGGTAGCGGAGCCTACGGGCTCTTGCTAGATCCAGGTCACTATAGCTGCAACTGCTTAGGCCGCTGCAGAATGTCGGCAGGAGAACGAGGAGTTCTACAGGTTGAGAGGACAAAGGAGGGAGTGCCAATCTGGGATGGGAATGCTGCAACATTCCAGGAATACTCAGAATTGGCCTTACACTGGGAACAAAGTGTTGCTCACCACAAGCCATACCTATGTGGCCCACGCTTGCAGTCAGAGTTGACAGGCACCACCAGACGTTTTGTCATGGCAATGAAGCCTGGCTGGATCTCTTATGATGGAGGTGTGGACCTTTTACTGACACACCTCCGACGCCATCTAGGACAGCCTCAGCTGACCGAAATGTCGGAATACCTGGGAAGGTATTTCAAGCAGTCTCGTCGAAAGAGGCATGAGTCCATGAATGACTACATCACAAGGAAAGGTGAGATCTACGCCAGAGCCTGTCAGACTTTGGAGCGTGTGCAACAACGATATTCTCCAGGATCGGGACACTCAGTTCCCGGAAGATCCCATCCTGGTGGTACAGCAACACCTTGGTCGCAGTCATACAGTTACATAACAGGTGGGGGCATCTCTCAGTCGGGTTCAGGGGAAGCGCAATCCAATACTGGTCCAGATGATGAGCAGTCGTTCCATGATGCAGAAGAATCGTGGCCCAACCAGGATTCGTGGGGTGCATCAGAGTGGACATGGGGTTCCTGGGACTGGAGTTCGGATTCGCAATGGAGGACCCAACAGCAGTCTTCCTATACATGGGAGAAAGAAGTGACTGAGTTGATTCCCACATTCGTCCAGGGATGGTTTTTGTTGCAGGATGCTGGTCTTGATGCTCAGGAGAAAAACATGATCCTGACCGCCTTGAAGGACAACTTCTCGGTTGAGCGCGTCGCCCAGGAGCTGCGCAATCAATGGCCTGACCAAGACTTGAGGCACAAAGACCAATCCGGTAGAAGTACCGCCTGGACAGTTGATGAAGCCCCCAGTGATGATGATATGGCAATCGGCGACCGGCAAGGCCCCGACATGGGCTACTTGGTGCAGTATGGCATGAATGAAGAAGGTCTATCCATTATGGAGGAGGCCGAAAGTGAAGCGCAAGAAGCGCTGGCTATGATGGATCATGGTCGAAAGACCCTTCGTGAAGCTCGAGCCAAGCAGCACCAAGTGAAGATGAGCCGCCAGTACTACCGAAGCTACACCTCAGGCAACAGGTCATCAGCAGGGAGTTCAACAACCAGGTCAACCAATCTGGCCAATATCAAATGCTTGAATTGTGGCGTGATGGGACACAAAGTAGCACAGTGCCCGAAGCGTGCCTTGCAGACTTCGGACAGTGCTCATGAGGCCCATGAGACTCCTGCAAGTGCACCTTTTGTGTGTAGCGCAACCGACCTTGACACCGCACATGTGGCCAAGGAGGGCCTATCCACTCATGAGGCCATGAACCGTGGTATGGCAATCCTGGATGGTGGAGCCACAAAGACTTTGGGCTCAGTACATGCAGTTGAGCAGCTGATGTTACTGAATCAGAAAAATCATGGCTCCGATGGGATCAAGCGCATTGACAACACGCTGCGCCCGACGTTTGGATTCGGGAATTCCTCCAGTGACAAGTGCATGTCAACGGCATGGCTTCGAGTCCAGGCCGGCGGTAGAGATGGTGAGCTCAAGGTCCATACCTTGGACCGAGGCTCGAGCCCCATTTTGTTCAGCATAGAAACGCTGAGGGCTCTTGGAGCCATTATCGATTTTGCAAAAGCTCCGGCGCCCAGTCTACAGAACTTCATCTAGGGACAACTCCTCCCTACTCCAGAGTCCGCCGGAGAAAGGGAGGTGGCCAATGCCAAAGCGGATATGGGAAGCAAGATCTCTGAAACTGAGAGAACTGTTGATTTTGTTTCGGGTGTGTTTGATTCTTTGAATAGTGACACTGTTGAAGCGGGAAAACATGTGAATAGTGATATTTGTGTGAATTCGTTTGAACATGATCCTGAGGAGTCTCTACTATCTACCCTAGGGAACACACCCAACACGTCATGCACACCATACACCTCACAGCAGCTCACCAACACTCAAGCCAGTGACGAGAAAGGCTCTTCTCACTCAGCCCAACCACGGCATGTATACATGTCAAAGGCCGAGATCATCGAAGAGATCGCTCGCTTGGGGGAATTGCCTCCCAAGAGCTGGAACAGGACGGAGTGCATGATTCGCATGGAAGAACTCCGGACCGCCCATGGGTTGACGCCCAATCCCAAAGCCAAGACAGTCACACCACTGAGGACCATGATGGTCCAACTCAATGCTGCAGCAACCAAGAAGGCCAACCTCGTGACCTTCGTGAAGGAGTTGGGAGTGGTGGTCGCTCCCAACGACACCATTCCCATCTTGCAGAAGAAGGGAGCCTTGGCCATCTACGATCGGGCCCCAGCAAGTCCAGAGGACCCAGTAGGCTTCGGGATGCATGCAGCCAAAACCTACCAGGAGATCCTGGTCCACGAGGCCAGCTACCAGCGGTGGGTGATCCAAACCTTCGAGGAACAGGAGGGACAAGCCTGTGCCCGCCTGTGTCGCCTTGCTCGATGGCTACTCGACCAGCGAGCTCAGAAGGACATGACGCCCATGAACGACACACATGCTCCAGCTCCAATCACCCGAGAGGAGTTGATGTCCAAGGGTTACAAGACTACCAAGGTGGAGCCGGACGCCAGGTCCAAGATCTCGAAACAATCCGGAGCTTCATCCAGCACGACGCAGTCAGTGCTGGTGGCCTTAGTGGAGACAGTTCAAGAGCTGAAGGAAGAGGTTTCCAACCTCAAGGGCAGTCAGGGAGAGCCTCCTCGCAAGAAGGCACCGTCCTCCAGCGAAGCCAGTGCTCAGAGCTTCGAAATGGTCCAGAGGCCTTAGATCAACTGGCCGCCAGTGAGCTTAGTGAGAGTTCCTGCCTTAGCAAACCTCCAGACTCAGAAGGCGGAGTCCTTAGCTCTGAACAACTGTTTTTGAAGAAAGGTGAAACCAAACGTTTGAAACGATGTCGTGATGAACTCCTTTCTCAAACTGTTCGTGACTTGGTTCCGAAAGAGCAGCTGATATTACTGGAGGTTGCTTGTAGTGAAACTAGTGTCCTTTCTACCACCATGCAGGATCTCACACAAGATCCACACTCAGCCAAGAGATTGTCCATTTGGAATGGTTTTGATTTGACCAAGGGTTCTGGTGTGAAGGGTGTGTTGGATGTGATAGACCGTGAAAACCCGAACATGTTTGGCTGTCCCCCGAGTGTGGCCCTTTTAGCATGATGCAGAATATCAATCAACGAACTGAAACGCAGTGTCAAACCTTGGAGGAAAAACGAAAGGACGCTCTGCGGCAGTACGTGGGATGCGCGATCATTTACAGGTATTGCTATCAACAAGGGATCCACTGCACTTGGGAGCTTTCCCAAACATGTCAAGCGTGGCGCCTCCCCGTGATTCAGAAGGTGGTGAAACAATGTCAACCCTTTTTCGCGGTGACCCGGGGATGCCAAGTGAATTTGAGGGACAAGAAGAATCGGTTCATTTCTAAGGGTTGGAAAACCATGTCGACCCACCGTGTTTTGTCGGAACGCCTTCAACTTCCGTGCATGTGTGGTAGAGCAGTGATTCATGCTCCTTGTGAAGGGAATGTCACTAAGAGCACGGCCATGTATACTCCTGAATTCGCTAAACGCGTGTGCCAGGTGATTTTGAAACATGGTGATGAATCCTTCTTGGTGAAAGACCTCCAAGGGAAGAATTTGGTGGGCGACCATTCTGGTTTGGGTTCGGTGTGCGCGTGTCATGAGGTTCGGTTCCATGGCATGGAGGTTCCTTGTGGGTCCTGTAGTCAGGCCTTTCAACATGAACATCATGCTTGTACGGCCGATAACCATGACGCCGTGTTGAGACGCCCGTTGTCGGACGAGGAGATTCGACGTCGCTTGTATCTTCTTCACTCGTCGACGGGTCACGGTCCGGTCACTCACTTGTTGCAGGCCCTGAAACGGAAGAACGTGGCCCCCAGAATTTTGGAACTCGCGAAGGACTTCAAATGTTCGGTTTGTGATGAACGTAGAAGACCTCAACCTAGGAACCTTTCTTCTCTCGAACCTCTGCCCCCTCGTTTCGAAACGTTGTCGGCTGACATTGGTCACTGGATTCATCCTGTTACTCACGAAAAATGGCAGTTTGTCATGATGGTTGACGAAGGTTCGAGGTATCGGGTTGCTCGCATGATCCTTCATGGAAAGCAAAAACATGTTTCTGCCAGCCAGTTCATTTCAGTCCTCCAAGAGAGCTGGGTATCTTATTTTGGATACCCACGTACTCTCAGGGTTGATCCCGATGGGGCATTTCGTAGCCATGAACTGGCCACCTTCTGTGACCAGCAACAGATCTTTTTGGACATCATACCGGGTGAAGCACACTGGAAGTTGAGTGTCTGCGAACGCAGCATCCAGGCAGCGAAACATGTGATGGAATGCCTGGCATCAGAGGACACCACACTCACAGCAGAACAAATCTTGGCCGAAGCAATTCGCACCTTGAATCATCGTGAAGTGGTGAGAGGGTACTCACCAGTGCAATTCATACTAGGTCGAGCTCCAGATGAACACGGAAGATTCTTTTCCCCTGCTAGAGATGTGAGCACTCATGCAGAGCTACCGATGGCTACAGAGACCATGGAGCGTGATCAGAATTTGCGCTTGAAAGGAGAAAAGTCCTTTTTGGATTGGATCGCTTCGGAGCGCATACAGAGAGCCACACATTCCAAACATCGTAGGATTCTGGATTTTTCCGCAGGTGACTTGGTCTTTGTTTGGCGCAAGCAGTTGACAGGAGAAGATGCAAAACAAAACAAGACAGGCCAGGGTCGCTTTGTTGGTCCAGCTCGCATTTTGGCAACAGAAAACACCCGTGATGAAAATGGACATCTCAAAGCAGGAAGTTCAGTTTGGTTGGTACGAGGCCGACGCCTCATCAAATGCTGCCCTGAGCAGCTCCGACATGCTTCAGAAAGGGAAACACTCCTTACTGAACTTCACGACCCTCGAGAAGTACCCAGGTGGAATTTCCCTATAGTGGCCGAGGAGCTGGGAAACAATGACTATGAAGATCTGTCAGATCATCCGACAGAAGCAGAATGGAGAAGAGCAGGGAATCCCCTCCATGAATGGCAACCTTCATTTCGAGCATATGGCAAGACAGCTCCCAAAGAACCACCAATCCGGACAGACCGACATCGAAGCAGAAGTCCTAGACCTCTGCCTCCTCGAGAATCAGACCATGAAGTAGCGCGCAGTCGGAGTCCACCGCCTCACGAACGAGCATCAGGTTCAGGACCCATTCAATCAGAACCAACAGGTTGTGTCTTCACAGCAGCACCACATTGGACCGAGCAAGTACAAGAAAGCTATTTTTCAGGTGAGCAGTCCTCCCGAGACGATCTCCGAGCAGTGGCTTTTTCCATAGAGATTGAGATGCCCGACAGTCGATCTGGTACAGAAAAAGCTTTGAAGGACTTGCAAGCCTATTTTGTTGGTGCTCTGAAGCGCAAAGCAGTCGAGATCTCCGAGCGCACCCTCACAGATGCAGAGAGACAGGAATTTCAATCCGCCAAAGCAGTGGAAGTGAACAACTTCATCGCTGCCAAAGCCTTTGAAGCACTCCCTGCAGGAATGAGGGTGAACAGATCAGAAGCTGTCAACATGAGATGGCTCCCCGTCTGGAAAGTAAAAGAAGATGGTACCCGAAAGGCCAAGGCGAGAGCAGTGCTTCAAGGATACCAAGACCCAAAGTATGAAGAAAGAGCAACATACTCCCCTACAACAACCAGGCAAACCCGACAGTTGCAATTACAAATAGCAGCTTCAAGAGGGTTTCAGACCAAAAAGGGAGATGTCACAGGTGCCTTCCTTCAGTCAAGAGCTTACCCAGATGACTTGCTGTGCATTCCTTGTCCCGAAATATGCACTGCCATGGGTTTGGCCCCAGGTTCAATTACAAAGGTTCGTCGAGCATGCTATGGTCTGGTCGACGCACCACTGGAATGGTACAGGTCGATTTGTTCATTCTTCCAGAAGTTGAACCTCAGAAGATGTTGGAGTGATCCTTGCTGCTGGATTCTAGCGCGTAATGGACAACTACATGGAATCATTTCTGCTCATGTTGATGATTTTCTGTTTTCCGGACGAACTGATGATCCAGTATGGCAGAGCGTTGAAGCAGCTATCAAACAAGAATTTCGTTGGAGTGATTGGGAGGAGAATCAGTTCACTCAATGTGGAGTGCAGATCACAAGAGAACCTGACGGCTCCTACACATTGAACCAGAAGCACTATGCAGAAGAAATCCCATACATCAACATTCGAGCCTCCCGTCGACGAGAACGTCACGCCCCGACAGATGACCTCGAAAAGACCCAATTGAGGGCCTTGCTGGGTGGAGTCAGTTGGTACAGCCAACAGGTGGCACCGCACTTCTCTGCAGACGTGAGCTTGTTGCTGTCAGAAGTGAACCAGAGTTCCATTGACACATTGTACAGAGCAAATCGCTTGCTTGACCAGGTCAGAAACATAGAAACATGAAAGATCATCATTTAAAAATTCATAAAATTGATTTGAATTCTTACGCAATGATTGCATGGGCTGATGCTGCAGATCAAAATCGACCAAAAGGTGGCAGCACGCAGGGCATTGTCCCTGGGATAGCAGACAAAACTCTGCTACAAGGAGCCTGTGTTCCTGTTTCTTTGATTTCATGGCACTCTTCCCGCATTCAGAGGATCTGCTCTAGTCCCGGGGCAGCCGAGGCTATGGCGGCTGTTTCAGCGGAAGACCTGCTGTATTTTGGCAGGTTTCAAATGTCTGAGATGTTGGGACATCATTTTCGCATCCAGGATCCCAACCCATTGGTGAATCGAGTGCCTGGCTGTTTGGTGACTGATAGTCGCAACGTATATGACAAACTAAAGGTAGAAGTGATCAGTCCAAAAGGAGCCGAGCGCAGGGTGGACATTACCCTCATGAGATTGAAAGACGCTCAACACCATAACCAGGTTTCCGTTCGCTGGGTTCACAGCGAGGCGCAACTCGCTAACGGTCTGACTAAGGGCAAAGAACTAAGGCAGCTACTTTTGTACTATGAGATGGGACAGTGTTGGCGCATTGTGGAGGATCCTTCTATGGCATCAGCAAGGCGAAGACGCCAATTGGGACAAGCACCTCTTGAAAACAGCACCTCCCAGCAGCAACACAGTGCCAGACACACCACAACTACTGAGCCTACTTGACCCGATGGATTGTTGTTCTCTTTTTCTTGGTGGTTTTTGGTTGGTTCCCCGCGTGTTTTCTGTGTTTGTGTTGATTCTAACGGAGTTTCAGAGATCAGGTGGCATGCAAGAAATCCTTTCTTAGAAGCTCTGTCAACGAGCATGGTTTCCGAGCTTGGGTTCAAAAGGGATCGCAAGGCTTATCCCGGTCGCGTTGCCACCGCATTCGAGCCATTTCGTTCACTTCGCCCCTCCGTTGAGCTTGAGAACATAGGCTGCCGTGCATATATATATATGTAATATTATGTCATATTGTTTGGAAGTCGTTTGTGATCAGTTCTGCGCGATGTTTTTCCTCGCTCGTACCTCGTGGAGCCTTTCCTCATGGTACATCACCAAGGAAACCTCACTGGAGTGAAAGCCATTTGAGGAAATAGCAACCGTCAGCAACGACGGTTGCTGCAGAGTACTGGTTTTTGGCTTTTTTAGGCCAAAGCTCCTTGTTTTCGTAGGACCTCCAACATCTGAAAAGTCAGAGTTGGATGGTCCGATGGTCTCTGAAAATGGTGCAAGCTGCGGGGCTGTCGGACAGCACCGTCTAACTTGTGGGCTTTGACCGTTGCTTTGCAAGCGTGCAGATGTCCAAGGATTGCAGAGGTTTGGTGTTTTAGGCGGTGGTGTCGGGTATCGTCCGGGGGTCTGGAGAACCTTCCCCTCGACATTAAGGTCTGCGGTGCTGGGGAAAAGGGCGTGCCTTGGCTGAAGAGAATCAGTTGGCAGACACCTCGAAACCGCTACCAGTTTTTGCCTTGTGATGCCAGGTGCTAGATGCCTTGCACAAGGTGATGCACTCTCGGAGTGCGTTACAGCATGTCTTACTGCACCAGTAAGTGTACTACTTGCTACTACGGGCATCGCCGGCATAGGAGCACCTTGCTTCGCATATCTTCTCAAATCTTCGCATTTTGGGGCTGGTTTCGGTGAAGCAGATCCACCTAGGCTTTGACAGGCCACAGGATTTGTTTATTATGTCTCACAGTGAGGGTCATGTGCTCTTCCTCCCCACCGCTTTGCACACTGGCCCGCAGAGATAGACTCATTTAATTAGATGATGCCTTCAAGGTTTTGCCGTGCAAGTGCTGCTTCTCTTGAAACCATAGACAAACAACGGCAACGTCTTACTACTGGCAACGGCAACCATAGACAAAAACTAAGTTTAGCCTGAGGGCCGGTGAGATTTAGCATGCTGTAGCCTGCCTTGGCTGTGAGCCCATTGTCCACATTGCTTGAGTAAGCTTCTGTGCGTTTCAATGAGTTCAGTCCAGTGTATCTTGTATCAATGTATCATACACCGCGCATAGTATCTTGTATCATGAAAATCACACGACTCAACTACCGCGCATTGTTAAGTTATGGGAGTATGGAAAGCTACGCGTTAGCAGTCACAAAGTCATTCCACAAACAACACAAACAACAAACACCAAGATGCTCAACAACAAGCTCCAAATCAGGACGAAATAAGAGCCCAAGTAAGGAATTTCAGCCCCAAAACAAGGGCCGAATAAGGAGCAAATAGGGAACAAAATAAGGACCAAATAAGGGCCAAATAAGGAACAAACATGCACCAAAACAAGGACCAAATAAGGAACAAATAGGGAACAAAATAAGGACCAAATAAGGGCAAAATAAGGAACAAACATGCACCAAAACAAGGACCAAATAAGGACCAAATAAGGGCCAAATAAGTACCAAATAAGCGCCAAATAAGTATCAAATGCAGTCTAAAGAAAACGTGTTAGAGCGAGCCCCTAAAATGTATGTATCGTTATAATTTATATACGCCGACGTGCTTCCCCTTTACCGTCGTGTTCACACCGACTGGGCTGCAGGGTCAGCGATGGGGACAGCACCGACAAGGCCGACCGGGAGAGGAGATCCCCACGCTCGGTGCTCCCCATGAAGTCCTGAAGAAGCGCCAGGTGCTCGGTGTCCTGTCTTACAACAAGGGGACCGTGTGGATCCCAATGTTTGAACGGCTCACATTAGATACAGGGCCGATATTCTTGCAATGCAGTGTAAATTGACTGGGGGGGGTTTCTGTGAGATGCTGACTCCAACTGCTCAATGCTGGCAGGTGGTGCCGCAGTCCTGGGCCAGGCTCAAGTGACCAGTGGGCTGCGAGTTGCGACCAAGAGCCACAACCAAAACGATGTGTTTCATAAGTCTTTTGCAGTTCCTTCCTTGGGATCATCGAACATCGCATAAATGTCACCCCTCGGTTCTTGAAATGCTCCCAAGTTTACCCTTCCAAACGACCGAACCCACCAGCTGGCAAGCTTTCGTCTTGGCCATGTTTCGCTCCCGCAAACCCGGGCACCCGAACATGCGAAATAGGTTTGTTTTTCAGAGGTTTTTCACTGATCCTTGGGCCGCGCCTTGCGAGGCAAATGTCCGATAGCGCGGCGATGCAGAAGGTTCAGGTTGGTCGGGACGAATCGATTGGTGACGGTGTGGCGGTCGATGTTTTGCATCGTGACGGCGAAGGGCAACCCCTTTGGGGACACCCCACAGCATCCTTTGTACGCGACCACCTGCCACATCAAGCAAAGATGAATTGAACTCTTTGAAGAGGAGGAACGGATTCCACGGATTCCATGATCCCTCATGTTCAATGTTCGTAGTCATGATCGTGGTCAGTGATGTAAATCCTTTAGCAAGCCTAAGTTGGGCCAGATTTCTTTCGAACCTGGACCCGTCAAGTCCACGCTCGCGTTGGAAGAAGCGCAGGCGACCAACTTCATGAGGCCGAGTGGGGAGACGGAGACGGAGACACGGGACCCTCTTGACCAGGAGGCCGTGGAGACGAGGCGTCCGTTTGGGAAGGAAATAAGAACGGAATATATATATATATATAATATATATATACACACATATTATTCACATATATATATATATATATATGATCTGACACTGATACTAATCACGCCGAGGAGACACCAGTGACCAGATGCTGGAAAAGCAGAATGGGCTTGGGTACAGTAGAGGCTTTCCAGCTCAAGAACCCTGGGATTTCTCCTGTGGATCAACCTCTTCACGAACGAGGAAGCTTCCCAAACCATGGTCGGTACTTGGTGAATTGGGGACTCGCCTACGAAGCAGATTCGCCTCAGCAATCCTCAGCAGATTCGCTGGCTGTGGATCGCTCTGGGACCCCATGGCAGATGCAGAGCACCTTGGACTGGGACCCCTTGTCAGGCAGCTGTCAGAGAGCGGAAAGTCCACACAGGCATGGCCGCGGAAAGGGTCCGGTGTGACTGTCCCATCAACAGTGGATCTGTGAGCCAGAATCTAATCACGAACGTTTGATGACCCAAGTAACCTATTTTCTCAATAATTTTGAGGGACTGTTCTTTCTGTTGAGGGTGCTAGCCGGAGCCGTGCGCAACAAGCGACCAGAGTATTGCATGTGGGCCCAGAGACTTTGGAGGATATGGATGGCTGTGAGGGACGAAGAGTAGAGCAACATCCATCCAAACATATCCAAAACAGGGCAGCCGGACAAATGGACGACACGCATTTACACCGCTGGTGCCGGTGCTGTGTGCGGTCACCTGACAGGTGAGCACCTCCGAAGGCAGCCCATCCTCGCCCAGCACGGTGGAGATGGCTGGGCTTATTGGTTTGGGGCCTCAGTCCGGGTGACTAGACAGACATGTTGCTCAGATTTGCTGGTAACGGTCCCAGGGAGAACGGCGAGATGTTCAGGGAGAACAGCGACATGTTCATAGTATTTTGTTTGGGGGGGGCGCTCCCTATTTTGAGCATAGATCAACCACATTCCCCGTGCCATTGTGAAGGTCAAGGGTTGTTTGAAGATGTTGGAAGAGTTTCTTCAGTCTTGGGCTGTATGCCCAGCTTCCAGGGAGGGAGAGGGAGAGGCTTCGCAACAGTTTAATTGTTGATCCCTTAAATGCAACTTTTCACCAAAGTTGTGGCACAACATGACACAACCATACACAACCCATTTTGGAATTGTTGCCCTCAGAGCACCTGAACGGCTTTGAGCTAGGTCATGCAGAAGTGAAGTAGGGAGTCTTAAAATGGCTTCGCTATCGGCCCCTCGCGGGCAGGCACTTGGACATCCAAAAAGCGTCTTTATATCCGGGAATTCTAGTGGTGGACTATTACTGGGTGTTCCATCTATGGCATTCCATCACAATGTTCAAGTCTTTTGGTCACTCCATCTCTTGTCCGGGGTTGCGAGACGATCGCTCAAACGAGAGAATCGCCAGGCGCCCAGAGCCCAGAGAGGCGCAGAAATTCGATTTGGGGGATGCAGGTATTTCTTTTGTTGGGGCACGGGGGTCGACTGTTTTCTTTTTGAATTTGCAAAACGTTTGCTATCCACGCTTCGGTCGTGAATCAGACAGGATCCATGAATCATTGCCAGCACATCTTGTGAAGACTGCAGTTTTTTGAAAGCTTTCCAGCATAAACTCAGCAAGCTCCATTGATTGGAATCGATGTTGATATCCTCCAGGGGGATCGAACAGCTGCCTTCAAGGGGGATTGTCCTGTATTAAGTTATAAATATTCATTACATTTGATTTCAAGGTTGCCAGACAATGTCGGCCCACTGGGACGTCTGTGGCTTTGCCATGTCTACTGGCGCCAGTGCCGAATTTTGCAACAGCAACACGTCAGGGACATCAGAATTTGAACTGCCATATGCTCCCCATGTTTGCACTCCCCTCATGAGCCCCTTCACGTCAATTTCCAAGGCTGCCTCCTTCAGGTGCTCCTGTTGACGGACAATACTATCGTGAAACACCGTCCTATTGTTATTTGCTCGGGATTTGGTACTTTTGTAGGCTTTCAATGGTGAGCGGAGTACTCTCGCAGCCTGCCAGGCCAAATGGCCCGGTACTGAGACACGGGGGCAGGTCGCAGAACAGCCACGGCCTTTCGGGATGACCGACAATCGTGCAAACGTTTGACGTGCCCGACATAGTGACTAGGCCTGACATAGCTATAGCATGCTATAGCTAGTATTGATGCCGGCGATATAGTTCGTCGCCCTTCGACACATTTGCTGGATTTTGCGGGCGCATGAGTCCTTGCACATTCCAGGATTCAACGTGAGCACCTGGGTCTCTCCTCTCAATGTGGCAGACTGGAATCATGGTGGTACCAGCTCTCAAGAGTATTTGTCATGGTTTAAGACACTTAAAGTCATGACATGGTATCACATAGCACGACAGTCCAAGGATGCTCCACGTCTCAGCGTCGCCCCAGACTTCCACATCCCGCAACCACACATTTCTACACAATTCTTCGTTTGGCTCTAGACCGTGGTTGTCGTCTCCCAGGCCATCGTGCCGTCACCGTGTCATCACGCCGGCCGGGTAGCTCAAACACCTGCAAGGCCTGCCTAAAGTCGTGATGCCTACACCGTGGTGATAGACTTATCTTTATAAACCAACCAAAAAATCAAATCATGGACTTCGATTTGAACCTGGATTCGCACTGAAAGTGTTTCCAACAGAGATCTGGAACATAGCG